TGTGATGTTTAAAGGGTTATTGAATGTTCCAGGCCTTTATCAGGAAACAACAGCCTTATAAATAGTCCTTCTCCTCAGACTGTCACTTCAATCAGCAGCAATTTGCTTGCCTGTGCAGATGCCAAGCACTCTGAAAATTCAAGGAAATGATGATTAACAAGAGTGGGATGCATTCTGGTGGTCGTTTCTTTCATAATATGTAACATAATTAAGAAACTAACATTAACCAGAAAGATGGACCAAGAAAACCTTAAGAAGGAGCTGCTTCCAGGAAGTCTTCCAGCTTCACAGATGTGTGTCAGAAGGCCACATTTTGTCAACTTAAATAAAAGCCTCTATCAGGAATATATTTTGGTTAAGGAAAATGATGAAGAATTTACAAAAAATAAAAATAATCTTCTCCAAAGGAAAGTGACAGAGCAATTGTGCAAAGCTCAGGCAACTAATTTAGAAGGGAAACAAAAACGTTTAACAATGATTTTTACTTATTTTCTCATAGCATGCAAAAGTAAATGTTTCCAAAGGTGCTTATTTTACTAATCAAAAACAAACTAATCAAAAACAACTAATGAATTAGTGTAATTAGGTAGTTAAAGTGATAAAGTTACACATTTTTGTTTCTAAAATTTCTTTTTTTTTTTTTTACGCAAATTAACATTTTCCTTTGAATTCCAAATTACAACATGAATGTGGAATTTATCTGCAGAATAAAAACATTTAGTTTTCATCTAAATAAACCAACGATTAAATATTTTTTTTATTCTTCGGAGTGGAACACAAAGTGACAGACTGAAAAGTCTTGTTTGCTTTAAAAAACATTGAACCCCTCAGCTGTACACTTCCACTTCTCGTAGCAAGTCAGTATCTATAAAACATTCATCTAGCTTTAAATTTCATTATGAATATATTAATAATTTCATGAAACCAAACTAACTCTTTTGATGAAGAAGCTGTTTGTTTCTAAAACCTGGAGCACGTGTCTGATCAGAGCGAGCCCACAGGCATTAATTAGTTGATCCAGAATTACTCTGCTTCCTTTCTCAGCACGGCCTGATGACCTTGGCTCACAAACGAGCTGCTCTCAAACTTCACTTATTTAAAAACACACCAGCTACAATGTTTTAAACACAGTAAAACACATATTTAAAGGTACTCACTGCAATCTATATAACCAGCTGTATAAAAAGGTTATCCTAAACTTTATAAAATGATGCAGTTTGAAACTGTTTACTCCAGTAACGTGGTCCAGATGACACGATTTAAACTTTTTTTGTTGTTATCCACATAAATGAGCTTACAACACTTTTTTTTACTCTACTTTTTAAGCTATATTGAGATGCAATTCAGAAGTGTGGGTATGCGCTCAACAAAAACAAAAAAAAGGGGTGAAAGCACCAGTGATTTATTTAGATGATAATGGTACTGTATTTCCTCCAGTCGTTTAACAGTCAACAATGGTGTACCACAAGGCTCAGTCTTAGGACCCAACCTCTTTACAGTCTACATATGTAATGTATGTCAGAGCATCTCTAATGCATCCTTACATTTCTATGCTGATGACAGTTGTTTTTTATCGAGCCAAAACAGTCGCTAAGGCTTCCCAGATTTTGTAGTCCACTTTCGACATCATCCAGTCAGATTTGTTCTGTCTCAAACTTGTCCTAAATGCCGACAAATTCTAAGGGATGCTTTTTTCAAACAGGAAGTCGGTCTCAGCAGTTCTTCCTCTGATTTTATCCTCAAATAGTGTCCCTGTTGAGTTTGTCGATTCCTACAAATATTTGGGTATCTTGGTCGACTTGCATCTCTCTTTTAAGCTTCATGTGGAAAACCTAGTAAAGAAACTGAAAGTTAAACTGGGTTTCTTTTTCAGAAATAGATCCTGTTTAACTCTGAATGCTGGGAAACTCATTGTAACTGTGACTTTCCTTCCCTCCATTGACTACGGTGATATTTACATGAACGCTCCTACAAGCACCCTGCAGATGTTGGATGCTGTCTATCATGGTGCACTAAGATTCATAACAGGCTGTAATTACCGTACCCATCACTGCACCCAGTATTCACTGGTTAACAGGACATCATTAACTTCATGCAGACTCTCCCATTGGTACATTTTCATCTTTAAATCACTTCTTGGTCTGCTGCCTTCATACATCTCCTCCTACATGTCACTGCGAAAGTGCAGTTACAGCGTGCGCTCTCAGGACATTATTACCTGCAGTGTTCCCTCAGTGAGGACTGAACTAGGCAAAAGGGCCTTCTCCTGCTCTGCTTCTGTTTCTTGGAATATCTTGCAAAAAGATCTGAAGCTCTCGACCTTGTTCTCTCTAAGTGGCTTCAAACATCTGTTAAGTTCCTGACAAGAACCAATGCAGACATGTTCCTGTTTTTAGTTTTCTACACCGCCTTAAAATCTAGCTGGTTTTTTTTCGCTACTTTTCCTTTTGATTGCCATTTTATTTTAACTTGTTAAAAAATTTTTAATTTGTACGCATCTATTATGATTGTCTATTGTTGTTGTTGTCTACTGTTATCACTCTTTAAAAATTCAGGTCTCTCTTGTAAATGAGTCCCCGAGGCTCAGTGGGATTAACCTGTATAAATACAGGTTGAATGGAAAAAAAACAAACGCGTGGAAGCTGGACTTGTGTGTCTGACCTTCATTTGGTTGCAGTCTTAAGTACCAGTAAATAAATATGACAGACCTTGACGAACTGGAGACATTAGGTGGAAATATAAAACTCTGCTGCTAAGCATTAAAGAAAAGAGAGAGAACGACAAAAACCTAATCAATAAATGTCGCGGATCAAGCGGTGGACTGCCACAAAGACAATCTAACCCTTCTTATCTGCCTAAAATATGCAAAAATATGCACCAAAACACCAAAACTGCAAGGATTCTCCTTCCCAAACATCTCTTGCATGGTTTGACCTGTCTTCAGTCACTTCAGTTATTTTAGTAGGTAAACACGAGATAATTCTTATCTGGTCACAGATTTTGTTTACAAAGGTTCATTTCAAAGCCATTACACATCTATGAGAGAAATAATTTGCAGATTATTATTATTTTTTCACCAGTAACTCTAAATTGTCCCTGGGTGTGAGTGAGTGAGTGAGTGAGTGAGTGAGTGAGTGAGTGAGTGAGTG